AAGGCCATTTAAACAAGGTTTATTTTGCTTAGAAGAATATTATATGCAGACAGGTAGAAGTGATAAAACATTTTCTTTAAAGGTTTTTTAATCACATGAAACTTTGCTTATTAAATTTTACTCATAGCAGTCTCTTGTATAAAAAGACAAACAAATATAAGTAAATCAGGATCTCTCAGTGTCAGGAGTTTACCTTTAAATATTAACCTTTCTGTTACTCCCATGGATCACTGAAAAGTGTTAGACATCTGGAAAGGTAATGCACACATAGAACAGCTGTCTTTGCATACTGCACTTTGGATTTCCTCCTACAAGTAGCAGCACCTTATTCACAGTTTCACTCCCACTGCTTCTTTGCACATATCCTAAAACAACCTAACTGAAACTTGGTGGGACCCTAACCACGATTGGGCAGTAAGCATTGAGGGCTATAAGCTATACAGATGAGAGAGAATAGGGAGAGAAGGGGGAGGTGTTGCTTTCTACCTGAAGGAGAAATATACATCTTCCATAATCAAGATGGGATCAGATCAGAGGAGGGGCAAATTGAGGTATTGTGGGTCAGAATGCAAACGGGTTGGTGGGGCAGGGAAGGGACTTGGTAGTAGAGGTCTACTACAGGCTGCCACATCAGGAGGAGTTGGACCTGGAATTCTCCAGACAGCTCTCAGAGGCCGTACGGTCAAAGGACATGGTTATCATGGGTGACTTAAACTACCCAGACACCTGCTGAGAGGAGCAGTCACCTAGATTTAACCGTTCACGTAGGTTCTTAACCCGCACACAGACCTTTGCCTAACACAGGAGGTATATGGTTCCACTAGGGGAAACATCTTACTGGACTTGGTTCTGGCTACAGGGGTTGATTTGGTGGGGGGATCTACTGATACGTAACCTAGAGGACAGCGACCATCACTTGATTGAATTCACTATCCAATATTGGGTCGGAAAGATAACCAGTAGAACAGAAGTGCTAGACTTTAGAAAGGCTAACTTCAGTGTGCTCAGGAGATTAGTTAACAAGGCACTGAAGAACAGAATTGGTGAAATGGGAGTCCAGGAAGAGTGGTCATTCCTAAAGGGAGCAATCCTATGGGCACAGGAGACAATCCCCTCGTGCAGGAAAGGGGGCAAAGGGGCCAAGAAACCCTCTTGGCTGAACAGGGAAATCCAGGAAAGCCTTGGGGCAAAAAAAAAAAGGCACATAGGTTGTGGAAGCAGGGGGTTGCTACCAAGGCAGAGTATACCTACCTGGCCTACACTTGCAGGGAGGCAGTCAGAAAGGCCAAAGCAGAAATGGAACTTAGGCTGGCAACAAAAATTAAAGAACTTAGGCTGGCAAACAAAAAGTCCATCTTCAGGTATGTAGGGAGCAAAAAGAAGGTGCAGGGTAACGTAGGCCCCCTACAATACAAACTAGGGCAATTGGTGACAGAGAGGGGGGACAAAGCTGAGACCTTCAATGACTTCTTTACCTCTATTCCTGAACTCGGATCAGGACAAATCTCCCAAATGGATCATAGACAGGCATAAAGGGGAAACCAGCCCACCAACTGTTAGCACCAACTTAGTGAAGAGACACTTGGAGAGTCTGGATGTGTTTGTCAGCAGGCCCAGATGATCTTCATCCAAAAGTGCTGAAGGAACTGGCCAGTATCATAGTAGAGTCACTGGCACAGCTGTTTGAGCATTCTTGAGGACCCAGAGGACTGGAAAAGGACCAATGTGGTCCCTGTTTTCAAGGAGAGGAAGGAGGATCTGGGTAACTATAGACCAGTTAGTTTCACCACTATCCTTGGGAAAACCTTTGAAAAAATTATTAAGGATTACATTTGTTGGAGTCCAGTGGGGAAAGCAATGCTAAAGGGCAACCAGCATGGATTCATAGCAGGTAGATCCTGCCTGACTAACCTTGTTTCTTTTTATGACCAGGTCACAAAATGCTTAGACACAGGAATCAAGGTGGATGTCATCTACTTGGATTTTAAGAAGGCCTTTGATATGGTATCTCATTATATTTTTAGAGATAAACTGAGCGACTGTGACGTAGATGATTACGCAGTCAGGTGGGTGGCAAATTGGCTTAGGGGTCGCTGCTAGAGAGTGGTGGTAGATGGGTTAGTATTGACCTGGAAAGATGTGGGCCATGGAGTCTCACAAGGCTTGGTCCTTGGACTGGTGCTGTTCAATGTCTTCATCAGTGACTTGGACGAGGGCATGGAAAGCACTCTGTCCAAATTCACAGATGATACCAAATTATGGGGTAAAGTTAACACACCAGAGGGTAAGGAATGAATCCAGGCAGATCTGGACAAGTTGGAAAAGTGGGTGGAACAGAATAGGATGCAGTTCAATTAAGAAAAAATGCAAGGTGCTGCACCTAGGGAGAAGGAATCACCAGCACACTTACAGGCTGGGGGAGGACCTTCTCAGCAGCACAGCAGCAGAAAAGGATCTTGGAGGCACTGTTGTCTCCAAGATGAACATGAGTCATCAATGTGATGAAGTGATCAGTAAAGTTAACTGCACTTTATCATGTATTAGCAGGTACATGACAAACAGGTCCAAGGAGGTGATACTTCCCCTTTATGCAGCATTGGTCAGGCCTCAATTGGAGTACTGCGTCTAGTTTTGAGTGCCACACCTCAAGAGGGATGTGGACAACCTCGAGAGGGTTCAGAGGAGGGCCACTTGCATGGTTAGGGGCCTGCAGGCAAAGTCCTACAAGGAGATTGAGGGACCTGGATCTCTTCAGCCTCTGCAAGACAGGGTGAGTGGTGATCTTGTGGCCGCCTACAAATTCATTGGGGGGAGGGAGAGGGGCAGCAAGAAATAGGAGATGCTCTGTTTACCAGAGTACCCCTTGGAGTAACTAGGAACAATGGCCACAAACTGATGGACAGCAGATTTAGGTTAGACATCAGGAAGAACTTCTTTACAGTAAGGGTTGCCAAAATCTGGAATGGGCTTCCAAGGGAGGTGATGCTCTCTCCCACCTTGGGGGTCTTTAAGAGGAGGCTAGACATGTACCTGGCTGGGGTCATTTGACCCTAGTGCTTTTTCCTGCCCGGGGCAGGGGGTCAGACTCAGTGATCTGCTAAGGTCCCTTCTGGCCCAAACATCTATGAACCTATGTACCCCCTCCCCTTCAGAGGGTGGTGTATCAGCAGGTATCACAGCATTTTACCTGTGACGGCATATTTGAATTTCAGCCAAAGATTTAACTTTAAAGCATTTAATATCCAGGGTCTTAAAACTAAGAGGCTCAATGTTACCTTTTGTATAATACTGCTATAATGCTCATTAAAGATCTCCAGTGCCATACCCTAGTCACATTTGTAAAGCAAAAGCAGCCAAAACCAGTTAAAACTGCACGTGACTTTTTAAAAAAAAAATGATTTTGCATATTTTGGTCCATTCAAACTTTGCAAAGTGATCACTGATCTTCAAAAATCTGCACCTTCTGAAGGCTGATTTTTAAAGCTTTAGTAGCAAGTGTGTATCATACTAATCTAATCCTAAAGTGTTTAAGCCTTCAAACTTTCAACAATAAAAGAAGTCACATTAAGGTCAAGGATAAGCATGTAGGTTTTTTACACAAAAGAAAAATGACAGATTCTGAGCAAATAAAAAAGGTATTTCGATCTAATAATGAAGTTTCAATATGTGCACACGCAAATGCATCAGAAAGCCATCCCAGGTATCCAGGTGTTTTGTGTGTGAATGAACTGAGAAAGTCACTTGTTTAGAGACTGGTTCTTATTTCTAGTGGTACTTGTAATAAATGGCTGAGAAAATGATAGTATTAAGCTCCTGTGTAGCAAATTAAAAATCACAGATTCTGGACTTCAGCTCAATTTTTATTTCTATCCATAAGTGAAAATATAGGTGGTTTATGTTTTAAAGAACTTCCTTCCAAAACACGATATGCTAACATTTACTTAATACTCGTTTGTTTTTGATATTCCATTATTATTTTGCTATACAGATAGTAAGTAAAATGGCACAATCGTGCCTAGTTCACATGGATACATGTTAAGTTTGTACGCTTCTTTCATTTGCTTATAAATGAACAGAAACCTACCAAGCTCTTGCCAGTGTTTAATGGTTATTTAATTTCTGTGAAGTCATGATCAGATAACACTCAATGTCCAAAGTTGTTCTTTATTAATATAGCTGGCTTTTTTTTTTTTTTTTTTTTTTTTTCCCTTTTACCAGTTTAAGTAACCTGGCTTTGAAAAGACATTCATCTATTTTAGCACCCAAAATGTAAAAATGGTTGAGTCTCAACCCTCTCATCATATGAAGCTGCACAAAATTATAGAAAAGTAGGACTGGAAGGTGCCTCTAGAGTCATCTACTGTAATCCCCTGCCTGAAGCAGGATCATTCTTATTCAAACCATCCTATACAAATCCTTGTCTAACCGATTACTGAAAATATTGTCAACCCTTTTACATAATCACTAGGCATAGCAGCCTAACTTGCCAAAGGTAAGCAGGAGGACCATGGCAGTGCCCTACTGCTGCAAGAGTTGTTAAAATATGCCCAAGAGATCCAAGGAAGAGGGCCATGTTGCCGGCTACATGGCAGTCAAAAAACCCCACGGTCCATACTAATCCAATCATGGGATAAAATTTCTTTCTAACCCCAAATGTGATGGTCAGTCATGCCCAGAGCAGAGGGACAAGACCCTCTAGCTAGGAACCTTCAGGAGGAGCACTGGCAAACGCCAGTCCAAATCCCTAGCCTTGGCTGCAGCCAACTCCAAATCCTTACAAAGGTGGCAAAAAAAAACCCAGACACCTATAGCAACAGGAAAGGAAAAAATATTCCGTCCCAGACCTACATGGCAACCAGCAAATGCCAGAAGCATGGGAAATACCTATAGCAGAGTATAGGTCTAGCTACTCCGAATCATCCTTGACCAATGTTTATCCAATCTCTTCTTGAACATCTCCAGTGCTAGGGATTCCACACATCTTCCCTCAGCAGTTCATTCCAGTGCCTCACTGCCCTAAAAATGAGTAAGTTTTTCTGATATCCAATCTAAACCTACTTTGCTGCAACTTCAAACCACTGGTCTGCATCCTACTCTCTGCTGCAAAAGAGACAAGGTGTTCTCCCTCTTCTATAGGGCAACCCTTCATATATTTGAAGTAACAAAGTTTTACATAAAAAAGTATTGCATCTGAGTACGTCTTGGTCCATTCTTTATTTAACAATAAAAACAGGCTATACTGTTTTGAAGAAAAAACTTCAGGAAGAATGACACAATGAAAGAGAACAAGCCAGCTGTTCTTTAATGTAGTTTGCATATTTAAAGACATTAATGGCTTCAAATTATTTGGAAAGGGAAACAATACCTCAGTGCAAATATTGCCATTTCATTTGCACTGCAGGAATATTCCAGTCTACTAGATTTTAAGAAAGGTAGCCATGTATCATTCAACTTTTCCCCCTATGCAATTTTGTATAAAAATATACCTCCAATGCAAACACATACAGGTATGTGCATAAGAAGTGTCCTGTACATGATCATTTTAGTTTTCTTTTCCATGGTATTGTGAAAGCAACTGGATTCTAACAAAGTAGATCAGCTTGGTCTCTGTGAAGAATACAGTGATAAGAGTTGCTGTGAGACACAGACTCCCCACTGTAATGTGAATCAGCCTTGCCAGCCAGCCTTCATCGCAGCACAAAAATACCTAAAAACAAAACAAAAATTTTTTTAAAAAAGCAAAAGCAGCAAGCAGTTGCAGGATAACAGCTGGCAGTGAGGCAGGTAATTAGTCTTGGTGATTTTTATGCACAGAAAAGCTCTCACTAGTGCAAAACTTAGTCTTTGCCAGCCATTACCTTGAATAAGTATAATGAGAGGAAAAATTCCACGTATAAGGTAAAGGAAAGACAGAATAAGTGGCAGGTTTTTGGTTTGTTTGTTTATTTTCTGGCAGCTCTTTGAAACTGCTGGGAAATGTGAAGTACTGGAATAAGAACCAATAAGGCACATTAAAAACCAGTGAAGTAGATTAGTATGAAGAGAATATGCCTATGGTAAATGCACAATTTATGCACATGTAGTGGATGGATGTGTAAGTAATAGCTATGTGTGTAGTTTAGTAACACGCAAGTGATAACCTGGACGTAGCACATCCATTTGTTTAATCTCTTAGAGGAGGATATCACCGGCTTGCAAAATTGTAATGCTATTGTATTCACCTATGCCCATAAGCCTCTTTTTCAAGAATCTGATAATGTAAAACAAATTATATTTTCATTAACATTCAAAATGTTCATTCATTAACATTCACCTGGTATGAGAAAACTTTTGCAAAAACAGTGAAATCTGAGACAGACACTTACCTCTGAAAAACTAGTAATTATTCCACTGAGAATGTAAACAAAAATCAGCAAAGGGGAGAAGAGCAAGCCCATCAACGGTCTGTAAGTGCTTTCCTTGAAATAATTATAGATATAGTGAACACTGTGTGCTATTCGAATACCCATGTTGAAGCAGTTTGCAAAGATAAAACCTACACTGCCTTTCCAATGGGTCAAGAAATAAGAAATGCACAAGAACATGAAGGACAAGGCCAGCATAACAAAGTTGAACCTGGGAGAAAAAAAAATAACAAGTGAAACAGCCTATGCAATTAAAAATATATCCAATCATATCCATATCTGAAAAAGGCACACAATTTATTAACTGAAACAGGTCAATAAAAAAGTACAATAGAAGAGCACGGAAGGAAAAAAACCCCTATTAGGTCGTGGGAATTTTATCTTATTCAGTTAATGGTAGATGTATTTCTATCAAATCTTATCAGAGAACACTAATGAAGTTTATAAAATCTGAAGAGTTCTACAATTTTATATCACATATTTTATATATTTAAACAAGACATATTTATTAACTTCTGACCAAACCCCAATTGAAAAAAAATAGCGTGACTCATGAGTCACAATTCTAAAAAGTTCACAAAAGTTATTTATTTAAATACATGTGTGTGTGCGTGTGTGTGCACAGTAACACTACATTTGTTTTTTCAAGAATGTTTTAGAGGTTATTAATAAGTATTCCCACCTTGTTACCCACCTGCCTGCTCTCTGCACATAGCAGAAAATGTAAAATGCTCGCGCGCGCACACACACACAATCTCCCTCTTTGTAGGCAGAACAATCTAGGTAAGCTACTTGGAACTGTGGAACACTTCTGAACAAAGAGCTGCTAGTTTTACAGAAGTTATCAGGCTCTAGACTCTGCATAAAGCAGGTGAAGGAGAGTTAAAGGAGAGGGGGATAAAAATATGTCACTGAAGTCACAAGTTCTATGCCAGTTTGCACCATCTGAGTGCTTAGCCCAAAGAATAAAAGCATTTATCATTTATTACTAAGACTACAGTTCTCCTACAACCTCAGATATTGAGTCTGGGATACATAGGCTAGATGTCTTTGGTCAACTTACCAACCTATGGAAACACCCTCATGCATATAAGGCTGCTCAGGGAGGGACTGCCTCTTAAGTTAGAAACATCACCGCTGCTGCTGGGGTAAGTGGGAAAGACTACTAACTAGCACAGATGAACAACCGTGTCAATTAACCCACCCACAAGCTATAACAAGATTGGTTCCTTATTTCTCTACAAAGTTAAGACTCAAACTTGAATATGGTGGTCTTTTTCCGGTGCCTTGTGTTTTAATTTTTCACCCAACGAGGCAAAAGCTTGCTAGTGTGTGTTATTTAGAATTTTATTGTAATAGAAAAGCACAGAAGGGCTTCCAATAAGAAACAAAAGTCAGATAAGTCACTGAAAAAAGTAATATTTAAATGGAGAATTACAACCTCGGTAATTGGAGACAACACATTTTTTTAAAAACAGTATACTACATATAGAGTCTAAATAAAACAGCTGCTCCTAAATGCATTGTTTTGGTCAGTATTAACACTACTTTTATTTTAACTTAGCACGGTAGTGTTTTTTTTTAACACAGTACTGTTCAAAATATACTCCTTACTCCTCTAGATGTATATTACCTGCATGCACACACACCATACATGTTTGTCCATGGCTCCGGTGTGAGACGCATAGACAGAAGCCCGTTGCGCCCCAGGACCGAGACTCAGATCCCCAGCACAGCCAGAGGTAGGTGGGGCCTGCGGCAAGGGAGGGACCTAGTCAGCTGTGGGGCAGCTGAAAGGAGGGTCATGTCCCCAACCCCACTCCTACTTGGCCCAGCCCCCCAGGGAGCCATGTGACCGGAGCCGTGAGAACAGGACGCGCAAACAGGCAAGCTTCTGAGCCCGACATGCGAGTTAGCATGGGAGTTCACGTAGGACGGTGAGCGGGAGGGCACAAGGCTCTGCCAATGAGCCCCAAGGAAAGGTTGTCGCAGCGGTAGCCAGACTACCATTTATCCACACTGCACCCTGAGGTTCCCCTCGGAGTCTGAGACCTCCCCCTCTGGTACTTCTGAGGTTTCCAACCAGAAAGAACCTATGGTTCCAGGCTCCACACAGATGGAGCCTCTGACTCTCGGCTGTGGGGGCTGCCTGGCACAATCCCAGGCACTTGGGACTGGGAGCATGGCCACCTCCCCTTGCAAGGTCTGTTTCACTTTGGAGCCTCTGAGGTGCCAGACAGAGGAGCTCCAGACCATAGTCCAGAGATTGTGTGCCATCAGGGATGGGAAGCAGGAGATCGACTCCTACTGCCAGGCCCTTCACCCCATGAAGGCCAAGGGTAGACCAAGGTCACCTTCTAGGACAGGGGAGGACTTGAGGATCTCTCACACTGTCCAGCCAGGGGGCTGGACCAAGGTGGTCAACGGCCCTAAGGCCCGCTCCCCCAGGGTCCCCTCTACTCTGGAGCTCAGCAACAGGTATGAACCTCTTGGAGCCCCAGTAGAGCTTGCAGACCTGCCAGCTCCTGCAGGCAAGGAAAGAATACCAACAGCTACAATCCCCACTCTCCCTAAAATGAAACGCAGAGTGGTTGTTGTGGGACACTCCTTCTGAGGGGGACTAAGGGAGCAATCTGCTTTCTCAACCCCTCTGCTGCCTTCCAGGGGCCCATATCTGGAACGTAGTGGAGAGGATCCCAAAGCTTATCCAGCCCTCTGACCACTACCCCATGCCACAGCTCCCAGAATCCCAGCCGGGTCATGAGTGGCTACAGGGCTCTGGGAGTGGGGGTGCAGGTGTTTTTTCCCTCAATCCTGCCAGTTACGGGTCATGGGCTTAGAAGAGAGAGACGGATTGATGTAGCGAACCAGGACTGTGGTGCTAGTGTCATCGTGAAGGCTTTGGCTTCCATGATCACAGTCTGCCCTTTGGTGAGAGAGGCAGTAGTCTGCTGGGAAGAAATGGCCTCCACCTCACTTCACTGGGGAGGAAGCTCTTTTCAGCCAGAATGGCTGACCTACTCGATCGGGCCTTAAACAAAGCCTGCTGGGGAATGGGTGGACTACCAGCAAAGCAAGCCCACTAAGCTACCACTACAAAACCAGCAGATTAGGTAACCCAAGGGAAACCACTCCTACCCCAGCCCTGAAAGGTGTCCTCCTGGGAGTATAAGGAAGCTTAGGGCTTCCAATGGGACGCTTATGTGTCTGTACACCAATGCCAGGAGCTTGGGGAACAAACAGAAGGAACTGATCCTCCTACTAAACAAGAATGACTAGGATCTTACAGGGATAACGGAGACCTGGTGGGATTCCACCTATGACTGCGCCACAAATATAGATGGCTATACCCTGTACAGGAGAGATTGTGCGGATAAAAGGGGCGGGGGTGTAGCTCTCTCTGTCAAGGAAAGCTACACGTCCCTGCAAGCTGACATTGGCACCCATGGAGGACGACTGGAGACCCTCTGGGTTAAAATATACGGGGAATGGTAGGCGTCTACTATAGACCTCCTAATCAGGAATGAGAACTTGACCAGGCATTCACCAGGGAACTGGCTGAGGCTGCACACTTTCGGTTAATGGTTATCATGGGAGACTACAACTACCCGGACATCTCGTGGGAAGAGCGCTCGGCCAAATCCGAACAATCATAAAGCTTCCTTACATGCATGGATGAGCTCTACCTGACTCAAGAAGTCTATGCACTGACAAGAAGTAATGCACTGCTGGATCTGGTACTGGCCAAAGGGGATGATCTAGTCAGCGACCTAAGAATTGAAGGAAAGCTGGGAGACAATGACCATGAGCTGATCACTTTTACCATCCATCGCAAAGCTGGCAAGTCAATCAGCAATGCAGAAATCCTTGACTTTAGGTAAGATGACTTGGATAAGCTCAGAAGGCTTGTTGTTGAGGCCCTAAGCGGTCATGACTTGACAGGGAGGGGAGTCCAAGATGAGTGGTTGCTCCTTAAGGGAGCAATCCTGAAAGCACAAAGGATCTTCCCATCTCAGAGGAAAGGTAACAAAAGGGCGCAGCAACCCCCTTGGCTCAGCAAGAAACTCGTGGGCCTCCTAGGTCTAGAAAGAGAGGCTTATAAAGGATGGAAGACAGGAATCACCATTAAGGAGGAGTACTCTACACTGGTCCGGACCCATAGGGAATGAACCAGGAAAGTCAAGGCTGCAACCAAACTCCAACTGGCTACACGTATCAAGAGCAATAAAAAGTCCTTTTTCAGATATGCGGGGAGTTGGAAGAAAAGCAAGGATAACATTGGACCCCTGCTAAACCAAATGGGACAACTGACAACCAAAACCAAGGAAAAAGCCAACCTGCTTAATGGATACTTTGCATCAGTTTTTCACCGCCCTGCCTAACATGACGTGCATGTCGGTGGATATAAACCTGATGTCATTCAATATGGAAAAAATGCAAGGTACTCCATCTCAGAGAAAAAAAACTTATATGCTAGGCAGTGCTACGCTTGCTAGCACCACGGCCGAAAGGGACTTGGGCCTTGGGACTTGGACACAAGATGAACATGAGCCACTAATGGGATGTCACAGCTGGTAAAGCAAACAAAACTCTGGCTTGCATCCATAGATGCTTCTCAAGTAAATCTCAGGATGTCATCCTCCCGCTGTACTTGGCCTTGGTGACGCTTCAGCTGGAATACTGCATCCAATTCTGGGCTCCACAATTCAAGAAGGACATGGAGAAGCTTTAGACAGTCCAGAGGAGAGCCACGTGCATGAACACAGGGCAAGAGAACAGGCCTTATGAAGAGAGGCTGAGAACCATGGAGCTCTTCAGCCTGGAAAAGCATATGCTTGGGGTGACCTGGTGGCAGCCTATCACTATATAAGGGGTGTCCATCAGGAACTGGGGGAATGCCTGTTCACCAGAGTGCCCCAAGGGATGGCAAGGTCCAGTGGTCACCAACTCCTCCAAGACTGTTTTAGGTTGGACATAAGGAAAAACTTCTTTACAGTCCGAGCCCCCAAGACCTGGAATAGACTCCCTCCAGAGGTGGCACGAGCACCTACTCTGGACTCTTTCAAGAAGCATTTGGACACTTATCTTGCTGGAATCCTTTTACCTTAGCTGACTTCCTGCCTCTGGGGCAGGGGGCTGGACTCGAAGATCTTCTGAGGTCCCTTTCAGCCCTAATGTCTAAGAAATCTATGAAGTCTATGAAAATGGATCAGTGGCTCAGAAATAAACACTCCTGTAAAATATGCAAAACCTAATCATATAACTTTACAATGTATAAAATATTATACATTATCCTTAAAATGGAATATAAGCAATTCTCTGCTCTTCAGTGAGTCTCAGAAGAGGAGAAAACTGTTTCCTCAGGATTAGATGCCTGTCAATTCAGAATTAGCGTCAGAATATTTTTACTTATTTTAACTATTCCTCAGATGTTGCTAGTTACTTCATTTTTAAACTTATCAACATGCCAAATGAATTAAGGTAAATGAAAAAGGACAATCTTTTCCTGGAAAAAGAATACAAGCAAACATACGTTTGTTAAAAAAAGGCATTTAATAAACCCTAAAAACGATAGGTATATTATAGCTTAATGCATATCCCTGAGACATAGCGAGTCATTAAAAAGGAAATAAAAGATTTGTCTAATTCCATTAGACAAATATAGCATATTTGTGAAACATGGAACATATATTTCATACACATTTCATGTATATTAAATTTGGAACATGGAATATTTTTATAAGTACAATTTTTAAATATAAGAAAGTTAAAATAATGGCTGTATTACAAAAGTAATATACTTTATAAAAAAATTAAAATTCTTCTAATATTGAAATGTACTAACTTTAAAAACTACTCAAAACAAAAGTATAGAAATTAGTTTTGTATTGCCTTTTTTTTTTACATTAGTCAATTTTTTAAAGCTGATGATTCCATATTGTCTAGAATTTCATATTCTTTGCATTGATTTGTATTCTGTGTAATGTTCAAAATTTGCTGAGATTATTTAACTATGGATTTTGGTAGATAATTAGCATAGTTTTCAACATTCACTGACTTAAATGGGTTCTGGCTATAAGCAAGTCATTAAGAAAATGGATAGATGTACATGTGAAGAGCTTTAAATTCCATCTTAATTTGAAGTGGTTCTAAATTGGAAGGCTTCAGTAGATTTGTCGAATACAGGACCCTCCTTGCTAAAGTGCTTTACTTGCATCAGAACCAATACTGCTGAGGTGTCCGCAGCTAGTAGGTTAGCAAGCACACATTACAGTATGCATATTGGCCTCTTAACCATGATCCCTGGAAGGCTTGCAAGGACAGCAGAATTGTTAACAAGTTTGAATGGGGTGTGCATTTTAGGGAAGGAAACTGATCTCAGCACCAGAATGAGGAGGCATGAGGATGCTAGAGTGGTTGCAGGGGGTTGGGTCCATGCTGGGGTCCCTGCTGCATGCAAGAGGGTGGAGTCCACACTTCAGTTTTACTGCAGCTAAAGCTTTAACATGGTCACAGCCATTGCTGAACAGGCTGAGCTTTTGAGAAGCCAAAGTTATGTGGTATGGTCCAGAAAATGGCTGCTACAATATTCCTTCATGCCTAACTTTAAAAAGGTGAGGTCCATGTGAGCTGGGACCTACAATCTCAAGGCAGTGCAGACAGAAACAAGTAACAGATGGGCCACCTCACGGTTGTAGCAAAACAGAGAGCAGAACACTGCAGGATGTGCATGGACCAACTCCTTGTCACATTCTGCTAAAGTACAAAATGTACCACAAAGCAGTTCACAGTGAAGCACTTCCACAACTGTTACTATTTCATCCAGGGTCATTTTTTGTAGAGTGGGCCAAACGGTAACCCTTTGATGCTGGGTAAACTGTACCCTAGGGCTGTGCAAAGCTTTGGTCCCTGATTCAATTTGGCCTGATTCGGTGTCCGAATTTCCAATTTGAATCAGAGGACCCTTTAATCTCGCTAAATCGATTTGGACCCCTCCGAAACAATTCAGAGAGCTTTGGGAATTTGGACGTAGATACAGCTTTAAATGTTTTTTCTACATACCTCTAGGTAGCAGGGGCTCTGAACGCTGCGGTGCTGGGGAAGATGCAGCATCCCGCAGAAGCATGGGGGGCTCCCCAGCATGCTTGGCAGCAGACCTGGAAGTGGACCAGAAGCACTTCCGGTCCACTTCCTGGTCCACCGGGGAGCGCGCAGGGTGGCCCCCCCAAACCCCTCCCAGCTTGGCGACTGGTGCCTCCTGGGTCCAGGGCACCCAGGTTCCCCATGTGGCTGACTGCCGATCAGGCAGAGCACGGGGGGGGCCCCCCAGCACACCACCTGGCAGACCAGGGAGTGGACTGGAAGTAGTTCCAGTCCACTTCTGGGTTTGCTGCTGAGCACACTGGAGAGCCCGCCGTGCTCCTGTGGTACGCTCCATCCACCCCAGCACCGCAGCGATCACATCCACGCCTGCTACCTCAAGGTATGTAGAAAAAAAAAGTTTTAAAGCTATGTCTGTGTCCATATTGCCAATTCGCCAAATCAGCATCAAATCTTCAGATTTGGCCAAATCAAATCAAGGACAGTGATCCGATTCAATGGATTGAATCACTGTCCCCAACTTGGGCGGAATCTGAATCGAAAATTACTTGAAGCATTACAAATGTTTTGTCTGTCCATGGCCATACTGAGACATTTTATATACAGATGAGGAGCGTGATCTTGGGCATCCAAGCATGAATATTTTCACCATATATATGTACTTGAGGATTTAGATATACTTTGGAGTCAGCACTGAAGATGAGAAACTCAAAACTGAAACCTAAATATTTAACTATCATATGTAAATCTTGGCGATTATTTTGATAAAAGAAAACAGTTAGTTTACAATTAAGATTACAATTATGTTTGAGAAAAAATATTTTTCTCTGAAACATATTTTTTCACATATTCACATCCAGAATAAATTCATTATCATAGTATTTAAAATGGAAGGAAAGAATAATACAGAGATTGCATTTGTTTTTCAAGAATGCTTTAGAGGTTATTAATAACCTTGTTACTCACCTGTCTACTTCCTCTTTGCACATAGCAGCAAATGTAAAACATTCTGTTACTCCATTGACAGCAAGAAGTAGAACATATAAAGAGTAACAGCGCAGGAGACTTGGACCTAGAAATGATAAAAGGACTGATGTTCCCATAAAAAAACAAAAAATATCTCTCATAATCCCTGATGCCCCAAAGCTAATAACCATATTATCATGAATGGCTTTAGCACTACAGCTATCATCAGGTTCAAACTGTAACTTAAATTACACAGATTTGTTTCGCTGGTACCTTTACAATACAATGAATAAACAACCTTCTCTCCTTTTAATTAACACTCCAGGGCCAAAAGGGAGTTTTAGGAGTTGAGAATTCTTTATTAAAAATACTTGCTGTATCTAATATTGTCTACTGCATAACTTTGTGACTCGGTATCTGAGATGAGTGCTTAATTATCTGGAAGCAAGATTAACGATCATATTTACTAGTATACCATATATTTTTCCCCAAAATTAACCCTCCAAAACTGGGGTATGTGCTTTCAGTAAGGAAGCTAATTTCTGTACCCGAATAAAGGCATGGGTACACTCTAGTATCTCCAGGGGATGCGATCCCTTCTCTTCCTTTCCTGGCCTGGACAAAAGGCAAAGTCAACTGCTCATGTCACACACTCTTCCTTGCAAATTCGGCAACATGCACTTTAACCCCATCATAGCCACCATCAAATTGGCAGCAGCTTTTTGCTGCTCAACCAGAAGTTGCTGTCAGTTCAACAACATCTGTAACCGAGTTAAAAGCATGAGCCATGGCACTTGCAAGGAAAAAAAAAGTGGCACTGTAAAGTAGACTTTGTCCATACTCCAAATGGCTTTCTTCAGTCATGATTCCAGAGAAATCTTTTTTCTCCTTCATACTACTTTCCCAAAACAAGGTGCATGTCTTATTCGGGGGGGGGGG